CAAATGTTCTCAGTAATAAGTTTGAAGACTTTCGAGTCTCATTATTTTGTAAATGTAGGCCATAAAATCTCTCAACATTTTTGGAGTTTCTGACATCAAATACCAGTAATAACTAGTGGTTTGAAGCCAGAGCCTTTTGTAAGAACTTCACTTCCCTAACAATATTGACTGAAATTATAAATAAATTAAATTATAAAATGATATTTTTGTTAAATAAATATTAGTAGTTGTTATTCTTAGTTTAGTATGAAATGTTTACTTTGATTAAGGTACTCCCAATGATGGCATCAAGGATTCAAATGGTAAATTTGATTTAAAATTTTGTTTTAAAAAAACTTATATGCTTAAAAACTTAAAGTGTTTTGTATTAATTTTTTAGGATTTTCATTTAACCAGTTCTTGCTTTGGCGTACTACGCATCCTGGTCAGAAGACGCGCAAAGCATTTAATGTTTGGGCCCGACAAGGTGGCAAAGACCTCCCCAACTTTTGATGGGGAGGTAGAACTGGGAGCCGCAAGGGTCGCGGACAAGGTGGCCGAGGAGGTGGCGGTAAAGGGTCTTTTGTACTAGGGCGTTTGTATTTTCAGCTCTAGTTTTTATTTTATGTGTAGTTTTATACTTATTTATGTTGATGTTGTTGCTTTATAATTTTATATATGTATTTTTTATTTGAAGTAAAAAAGAACAACATTTCTTATTTAACCTTTGTCGTTAATGCATAGGTAAATTATTCTGAAATTTATGTTTAAATAAAAATTTTTAATATGCGAAGCTATACTTAAGTGAAGCTTAGCTAACGTCAACTGTTATCTATACTTGCTAAAATGTTTTAACTGTTGCTACCGTTCACTTGTTCACATCTTGATATTGATGCTCAAGGGTATAGAGTTTTTTTTGTATGATACTTATAATTTTAATTTGGAAAGAAACAAATTTAAAAAGTTTCATGTGTAACATATTTATGTCTACTTACATTAGGAATTTAAAATGGTTTTTAAATTCTAGAATTAAAATCTCAAATAAAATAATCATCTTTCAGTGTAATAGATAACCCTCCTTTATTAAATTAAAGCGTATGAATACACCTGTCGACGGGTAATCGCCCGTTGGTTACTGCTTATGTAGCTATGTATGTACAATGATTTCCTTTACGTAAATCAGATACTTAAAATATAATCATTTTAAGCTCTTACAAAGAAATTCAAGTTAATTAAGCAAATTATATTTAAAATCTTTTAAAAAGGTATGAAATTTCGGTAACGGAAAAAGTTGATAAGATTTTTTTGTTAATTTCTGCAAAAAGTTGATATACAAAATGTTATATGAAGATAGAGTACATCAACTTGTAGCATGTAAATGTTTTGTAAAAGACGCCGCGCGTCATTTACAAAACGATAGTTACATGACATCTCACAAAACAGTGGATACGCAAGTATTTTGAAACCGTAATTGGGGTTTGTGTAACCGGACACTTGAAGCAAAATAAAATTTAGAAAGCAATAACAACAGATATGATATCATTTACTTGAATATGATATAATAGACTGTTTAAACGTACAACTTTTATAAAAACTATTGTTTTTTTTAATGAACCTTTCAACGAACGAGCGGGTACACAGGCACCCGCTTGTTCGTTGAACGGGTACCCGGCTATATATATTTTCGAACGACCTACGCTTTAACTCACTGATAAAAATTCTAATCCGCCTGTTTATTTACAAACATCTTTTTCATTCTCATCAACGTGTTTATGAATACTCATATATATTAATTTCATAAAACAATTTTAAAAGAACATTTTAAGAGAACACTCAGCAAACATTGCAACATTTCTGGTTTAGTTGCAATGCTTGCAACTAAACCAGAAATGTTACAATACTTGTTAATACTTTCCAGTTTTTCGCTCTCACGTGAGACTTTAATGAGCAATAAAATACTAAAACATAAAGTTCCAAATTTCTTGCTTGCATATATTTCTTCAAAATTCATAAGAACATTAAAATGACTTTGTTAAACCAAACTATGTAAATAAAAAAAAGTCAATAAATCGGTAGAACCAGACTGACTATAACCGACTATTGCTTTCTCAACTTGGCATTTTGTGTATGATTAAAGAGATAAAAATAAAATGTTAATTTTTATCTCTTGTACTCATTTCTAACAGTGAGCACCACGAGAAGGTAGCCAAGTTCCGCTCACCGCCCTAAAAAAAAAATCTAATTAAGAATAATAACACTATGGTGTGTGTGTGTGTGTGTGTGTGTGTGTGTGTGTGTGTGTGTGTGTGTGTGTGTGTGTGTGTTAACCCTAAAGGCTTATACCACAAAAGGCTATAAATCTTGATATGCCAATATTAAAAAGGTATTAGCAGTTTGTCAAAATAAAAAATCTCATTTCAAATAAATGACATAAACAACACAATTAGGGTGTTCATACCAAATAAAAATGACATTATATAAAAATGCCAATTGTAAAAATATATGCTAATATCAGATTGGTATAAACTTCTATGCCCATAATTTTGCATAAACATGCAAGATAATTTTGCATAAACATTAAATAATGAGTTATTAACTCAAGCGTTGTGTGTAAGTATGTGTGTATGACAGTATGATAGCATGTTCTTATTTAATTCATTGGTTTAAAAAATGATTATCAATATGCTAGCAAAGACAGATTTATTGAATTAAATAAGATAAAGTTATTATCATGAATAAATAAAAATTTATACCTAAATCTAAATAAGATTTATTAATAATAATTATTAAAAATCAATACCTGATGGTTAGTATAACAAGGTCATATATTAAGTAAGGAATAAACCTAATTTTTATTATTTCTTTGTTAAGAATGTCATGACAGTTTCAGATATTATACTTCATTTGTAGTATTAATGTCTGCTATACTGTTGCAATGCTGACAATACCAGAGCTCATCTTCTTGTTCATAAGCGCTCTGTGGAATTCTTTCACATTGCCGATGAAACCATTCTTTGCAAGTAAAGCATTGAGCCATTTGCCTACAAAACATGATAAGAATAAAATATTTTAGCATTATTTAGAAAAAATGAATTATGACTTTATAAATGACAAATTTTATGCCACCTGCTAAAAATGTTCTCATCTTTATGGGTCCAAAACATGCGACAAGAGCAATGCAAGCGTATACGAAAGTCCTTTGCTGCACATTTTTTAAACATAGCTGGATTGATTGTGGTAGGGAAGACATCTAACCGGTTCTTTAGTATACACATAAGGAAATGCTTTCTCATTTCACTTTCTTCAAACATTAGAGAAGTGGAAGGTATTCCCTTCACTTCAAGAATTTGTCTAGCCCAAGCAATAGCATACAGTCCACAATCAACACCATTAGTTTGTTGTTGAATAGGCAATACTTTAATCATAAGATATTTTTTATCACATTGTAAAATAGAGCATATTTGCCTTTTTGTGTCAAAACTAACTGCACCATGAAAAAGACTATCAAAAATATATATTTCTCCTGCAGCACAACCATATGTGGTCACACAAATCCAGTGGAGATTTCCATCATGAAGAACTTGGACAAATGGGGTGTTCGGATGGATGTTAAAAGCTAGGACTTGACCTTTAATAGGATCCTGCAGACCAACATCAATATCCAATTGCATAGACATGACTTGTTGACAATAATGAATAACTTTATCATTAAGCATTTCATCATTTTCTATCTCATTCATTTCTAAATTTCCAATCAAAGAAGATTTCAGATATTGCACACTCTGAACAGTCCTTTGAATATGGTTACCATCATCTTTTATGTTGCCTTCAAGCAACTCATTGCTATCATCAGATAATTTTTCATCAGTCTTTATTGAATCAATTGGAACTGTAAAAATATCACAACTTTCGTTTATGGAGTGATTTGTGGTTATCTCAGAAAGTAAAGAAACTTTTTTTGTTACTACACTCATATCTGAGGCTGCTTTGTAAACATCATACTTGACACCAACTCGTTTAGTCATCTTCCTTTTTCGTCTAATTGGGAGATGACAAAGTCTAGTTGAATTAATTTCAGTCTTGCTCCAAGTATCTGGTTTATTATCTGGACGCAAAAGAATTCCATTTTCACTTGTAATGCTTTTAACTAAGTCAGTTTTCAATTTATAAAGCCCTTCAAACAACAGATCCACATTTTTTTGAGAGTTGCATAGATAAGACATCTGAGTGATTTCGCTTAATAGCTCACGACATGTTATTATAGAGTGACTACTTTGAATTTTATTTGGTGCAATCGTACTTTTAAAATTCATTCCTTGTACATTTGGAAACGGTTGAGGTTCAAGAGGTATAGACAATTGTGTTTCATGTCCGACAGCATTATTTTGAATACCAACATTGTTAGGATGAAAAAAATCTTGACATACTACAGAGGTTGCATGGCTATTTTCATCTGTCAATAAATCTAGGCTAAAATATGGTGAATTTCTGTATAAGCTACCAAATGCAGACCAGGAGAGATTTTCTTTTATAAAAATAGCAAAAAAATGCTTGCATGGGTATGGACTACTAAACCAGGCAGGGCAAGAACAACTAGGCAAATGTTTATCACCACCAAGATAGCATTTATAGATTTCTCGACTATTTGAATCAAATGAAGCAACGTTGTATATCTTGTCAGTTACAGCATTAATGCCTTGTAAGTCAAGGCCTTTTAATGTATCAATTAAATGCATGCAATGTTTTACCAAAGGTCGTGGACGATCAATCAAATATGGCGGAATTTTTGCATTGTATTTTCTATATGATGAATGTGCTTTTTTATTTTTATCACAATAGCTAAATAAATTATCACAATTATTATGTTGATATAACAAAGACAAGTTAACAATTTATTATTAATTGTAATGCTGTGACTCGTTACATTCATCATTGTTATCTTTTTATAAAAATACTTTAATATATTTAATATACTATTCCATACACTTTTATATCTTAAATAATAACTCAACTAACTTGTCAAATTTGTGAGGAAGAAATTCTTCAATACAAATACTTAGCATAGCTGTTATTGAAGAATTCTTTCGTTTTTCTAAAAAACTATATTTAAAAGATTGATGCTGCCTCTCAGTTCCATTGTTAGTGTTAACATTCAGCAGGAGACGATCCTGTCTGTAAGCAAACACCCATCTCTAAAACATAAAATAAAAAAGTAAACTGTTGGTCAGTTAGTATGAAACATTGTGATAAAATTTTTAATATATATTTGTCAGGTGGTATAAATGTCTTTTTTGGCCAGTTGGTATAAAACACATAATCATCAAAAATTTTGTATAAATAAATAACATAAATAGTACAAAAAGCTTTAACTTTGCAACTTATAACATTAAATCTTATAACATTAAGTAAGAGCATAAGAGAACTCCATGGACCAAATTTCAATATAATCAGAGAAGGTATTAATAGGCTAATTTTGGAATTTTGGGATAAAAATTTATACTTTTCCATTTTTACTTAAAAAATTAGTTTATAAAAAAGTGTATTAAAAAATCAAATTTAATCACATCTTTTTTTTTTAAACAAACATGCAAACAAGATCAGAACTATGAGTTAATCTAAGAGTTAAAATAAAACAAAGGATTGATGACTCAATGAGTACATTACTGTTCATAAACATATGAACAGATCTAGATTGTTGCGATAATGATATATACAACTTATTCTATATACAACTTCACTTACCTTTTGGATAGGTAACCAAGTGTTTGTTAAATACTCAGCGAGTTTTTGGTGTATTTTCCATACTTGTGATTCCTGGAGCCCTTGAACTGCCTTTTGACAAATATCTTCTGTTTTTGCATGTGCAATATCACGAAGCATTTTTTTAACTTGATCTTTCACAAGGCAGCATCCATTTATGGTTTTTGACAGCCATCTTTCCCAAGCTTGCTCTCTGTGAAAATCACAGATAAATACTTTACACCTAAGTAAAAGAATTATAATTATGAATTGTTATAACAGTTTATAATTAAGCTTAATACACTTTTGTTAGTTACGTTATTTAGTGTAATTTGTTAGTCAAATGCTATTTTTGTATATAATTAAGTCCTAGAGACTTTTTGTTTATGTAAAAAATACAACATAGAGAAAATTATTAATTAATGATATAATTATTTACAATTTAGGTTTAACGCCCACACTTTTGTGGTTTTAACAGATCTACATGAAGTTACAAACAAATACATGGTGGGGATCAAATTTAAAATTTCTCGCTCTAAAGCAAACATTTTACAACAAAAAACTATTTTTTTAATCGTTTTTATTTATAAAAATTCTCAGTTAAAATATATTAAAATGAATATATTATAAAAAAAATATAAAAAAAAGTAGAGAGCCTATAAATGAATAATAAAACAATTTAAAAAAATGTAACAAATGTCATAAAAGTACAAAAGAAGATGAAAAAGAACCAGCAAGTTTTAAAGGAATTAGATTAAATGTGCTATATTTGAAATAAAATTTTTTTTTTTATTAATATTGTGATTTTTTCATTATTTGAAGATACTTTCCTTATAATTATGAACAGAAAAAATTCATAACTACAGAAATTCTTACCTGGAAACACATATTCGAGTGCATTTATTTCCTCGTTTGAATAATCTGTCATAAAATAATGGATTCCATTCTTTAATGCACATTAGTGCTTTTGCTATAGCTTCTGTGGTTTCATTTTCACAAACAAAAATTGCAACAACTTGGTAATCAATGTTTGTTTTGACAACTAAAAAAAATAGCGGAAGGGCATATCTAGTTGTGCGATATGTTGCGTCTAAAAAAGCCAGTTCATTTCCATATCTTTCCATAGAGCAATTTTTGTTGCCATACATCTTGATAAACAAACAGTAATGAATTTTCAAGATTTAAATCATTGTCTGAATAGATTTTTCCTTTTGGTCTAAAATGTATTTTTGCATCTGGACAATATATTTTCCATTCATTAATCTTATCACGCAGACATTCTTGATCTATCATGGATCTGCGAAGATTATTTCTAGCTTTCTGCATATGGTTTGCAATAGTCTCATTTCGTGGGAAAAAACGTTTATTTGCTTTCTGTGGTAAGTTAAGTGAATTAAATTCCATATGCACATAAGCATCCAGAAGACGTCTCATTTCTGGAACAGAATTAACACCCTTTCTGACTAGCTCATCAATTTTTTTGATAATATCCTTAGATAAAGGTTGATTAAGACCTGCTTCCGAAAAACAAATATTTTGATAAATAAAAACCATAGACAATTTAACATTAATGTAATGGTAATACTTACATCTCCAATTGCATGGTCTTTATGAGAAGAAATGTCAGGTAATAATAAAATATATTTTCTACACATTGAAATGTTTCGGTTGGTAGCCAAAGCTGAGCGAAGTTTTTTTGACATTTCTTTTCTTAACCATATTGAATCCTTGTCCAGCTAGAACAAAGAGAACCAAGTAATTTAAAAACTGCTTAAACTATAA